TGGCTTACTTATCATTCTTAGGTGATCCCCTGCCCATGAAACTTCTTATCATTGTTTATTAATTAAATTTCTATGCTGACCTTCATTCAAGGATCACAAGGCAAATTACAATATAAAGACACAAAAATACATAACTTAGTAACAAACAATAACAATATCCCCAGAGAGAGATTAAAAAGCCAGCTTGCTTTATTAGCCAAGGCTTGGGAGAAGAGAAACATTTTCCCCTGGCGCCTATAGATATGTAATGAAGGCGCCAGGTGGGTCTCCTTAGGGAGAGCGTTCCACAAATAGGGAGCCACTGCAACAAAGGCCTGTTCTCATGTTGCCACCCTCTAGACCTCTCATGGAGGAGGCACACAAAGAAGGCCCTGATGATGCTTGCAGGGTCTAGGTTCATATGGAGAGAGGCGGTTCTTGAAGTACTGCAGTCCTGAACCATCTGAGGCTTTACAGGTCAAAACCAACACTTTGAACTGGGCCAGGAAACTAATCGGCAGCCAGTGCACTTGGGCCAGTATATGCTCAAAGCACCTTGCCCCGCTGAGCAGCCTGGTCACTGAATTCTGCACCAGCTGAAGTTTCTGAACTAACTTCAGAGGCAGCTTCACATATAACACATTGCAGTAATCTAGCGTAGAGGTTACCAGAGCACTGAAGGCAGAATTAGGCCTTCCAGACAGGGATGTAGTTGGTCCACTAGTGATAGAAGGCAGCCCACGGCACCTAAGTGATAGCAGCAGATTCAGAAGTACCCCCAAGCTGTGTAGCTGCTCCTTCAGAGGGAGTGTAACTCCATCAAAAACAGCAACCTCCCATCCATCGAGTCTAGGGAACTGCCAACTAAGAGTGCCTCAGTCTGATATGGGGCCAAAAAGCGCTCACTCCCCCAAGCATCACCCTCTGGAAATGACCATCCAAGTAAGAGCAGAACTACCACAAAGCGGTGCCACCCACCTGGACAGTGGCTCCAGAAGGATACCATGGTTGATGGTATCAAAAGTTGCTGAGAGGTCAAGGGGATTAACAGTGACACATTTCACCCATCTCTCCCCCAGCAGAGGTCATCATACAAGGTGACCAAAGCACTTTCTGTGCCAAAACTAGGTCTAAACCCTGACTGAGATGGATCTAGAAAATCATTTTCCTCTTTGTTCTCCAAGCAGCAGAGCAGGCCCCATAGGAAGGTATCCCACGGTATCCTCACAACAAACCTGAGAGAGAGTTTAAGTTAAAAGACTGCAGTTGGGTCATGGTCACTCTTCATGAGCTTGTTGGCCAGGATTTGAATTCACGTGTCCCTGTTCCAACACTGTACCCACTCCACCAGTACTCTAAATGTGTCCTTGGACAACTGCAGCACCTCACTCATGACACTGGGCATTTAAGGTATAACCCACTAAGAACTTCTCCTGTGCAAATCTATTTCAGTGAGTAGGATCTCTACACCTTGATAGGGCTTATGGAAAGAAAGGGGGGGGGAATCCTTATGTCAAACAATCCCCTCCCAATTTTTGAAAATTGTGTGTTTTAGCCAACCCCGCTAAATATTATTTCAAGTTTAGGAAGCTTGTTCTGCCTGCATTCATTTTATCATAACAATACAGCCCTTTTATCTGTACTATTCACTCTGTGTAATGACTAGCTTGAATTTAAATCACATAGAAATTGACTTTCTTTGGCATCTTGTAAACACTCAGACCTCTCCTATTTTTCTTTTCTTTTTCACAAACCCAGATACATGGAGGCGAACTTTCATCTATTTTATTTTATCAAAGATATGTCAGCGATTTGTGACACCGCACAAAGGGGCTTTTGATTCAAGTATTTCCTGCTGTTCACCAGTTCAGTCAGCCTCCATTCAAAGCCCCTCCAGGTCAACTGGAACAATCCTACTGATTCCCATCGGCCCTGCAATAATATCTTTTCCCTTGTAATCAAGGTTTACAGGCATGCCCAAACCACAATTTCCATCCCCACAGCGAACACAGCTTTGCCATTCACACCATCTTGAGCTCCTTTGGAGAAAAAGTCAGAATCATAGAATTGTAGAGTTGGAAGGGACCCCAAGGGTCATGTAGTCCAGCCCCCTGCAACACAGGAACATGCAGGTGTCCCAAATGGGGATCGGACCCAGTACCTTGGCATTGTCAGTTTCAGACTCTAACCAACTGAGCTGCCTATAAATGCCATGAATAAATAAAATAAAATTCAATGAATGCAGCATTACCTCACAAAGCACTTTGCATGTGAGTGTGGGCAGGTTTACCATTATTTCTAATACAACAACCTATTGATTTAATAGTTCATCCATTATATATACTTAAATCTTGCTTTTCTGCAGGGTGGGGGGTGGGAAGGGGCAAAGAGACTCTAAGAGCACTATTCAACTACACTTTCTTCACCAATGTAGGCTTGGTTCCAAAGGGCTTCATTTCAGCCAGAACGCAGTGGAGGCCAGATTCAGTCCTTGTATTAAGGAATTTCTCACACTTTGCTGAGACAGAGGCAAAAAAGTGGCGTGCAGTCGATAGCGGCTGAGCAGCTCAAGTGGTCATCAGAAGCAGCTGATATTTTAAGTCAAGTGCTCTACAGATCTTCTCAGACCACTCAGCAGTTTCATGAGCAAAGGGATTTCACCCGGCCTGTTGTCAATGCTTTCTGCCTGCCAGTAGGCCTGACCTTACACTGCCTGCACAGATCTGTCCTCGAATCCAATAAAACCACAGGAAAGCTAAAACTACTCACCTTTCGTTGCTGTTACTTGCTTATTGGTGTTCCTACTTTTCCTTGCACAATCACTTGCTATCAGTGACAGCATCAGATAGGCAAATCTGACCAGTGGCGTAGCGTGGGGGGTGCAGGGGGGGCCGGCCGCACCGGGCGCAACATCTGGGGTTAGGGCAAATCCACAGGTTAGGGGGCGCAAATCCACAGGTTAGGGGGCGCAAATTACTTGCCCCGGGTGCTGACAACCCACGCTACGCCACTGAATCTGACTGGCCACACAGAATAGAGACATTTCTCTGTTTACATTGTGATCCTTGGATGGGTGGGATTGCCAAAGTAATTCATACAGAAAGGGAGGAAGAAGCAGCCTCTGACCAGCCCAAGACAAGATGATACCCCTTTCCCCATTGCACACACAGAAGCCCACCAGACTGGCAGCTAAATCTTCACTTTGAGACTGCTGACAGGTGTAGCATCCTCTACCACATCTGAGGCAGAAGACCAGAATAGGGGACTTAGGACAAGCTGGGCAGAGGTAAAAGTGAATGCTGTTGCCCCCCCCCACACACACACACACACTGGATCTGCCACCTGAGGCAGTTGCCTTTTGCCTAATGGTAGGGATGGCCCTGCCTAGCATGCAAAGAAGGCAATCAAAGCAACAACCACCAAGCTGCAAAGATATCACTGAAAAGGGTAATTATTTGCACAACCTAAGTATTTTTTTAATAGAAAATTTCTACCATATCAAAATTGTTTGATACTGCTTGAAAAATGAAGCTGATAAATATTTGGCACAGTTCTAAATAAGACTAAACGTTTTAGGCTAGATTTTCAGGATCAGAATTAACAGCATTCTGAAAGTATTTTTGATTCATTAAAATATTTCCCCCCCTCAGATTTCTTTAGTTCAGTTTGAGGCAGGTTATGTTTCCTTCCACCAAAAGGCTGGCTTGCATGGACCTTTGTCACTGGAACCAATGCAGTAATTAATCAAGACAGCAACAAAAATGCAAGAGTCGCGGCACTGCGAGCTACAATATTAGGGAGAAAGAAAAGCAACGGAACAATCATATAATAACAGTCATTCTTAGCACTCTGTGACTATTGAATATTTAACCTTTAACACCTTAGTAATACAACAACCTTGTAAGGCAGGCCAGCGGTACCATTATCATTATTATGAGCAGACCAGAGGACTAAGACAATGCCAGAAAATGGCAAGCCCAAGATCACCTAGAGAGCTTATAGCTAAAGTGAGATTAAGAACAAGAAAGCTGTCAGCTTCCAAGCTCAGAGGTCAACCCATTGCTCACTGGGCTGTACTACCTAGGACTGCAGGTGAAAGTTCACACGCCTGAAATCTCCTTGATATAAATAGTCCCTGCAAACAGAACTTTAGATGTCAGGGAGAAAGGATTTAGCCTAGCTTTCTCCCTAACATGTTAGTTTTCTACGTGCAGTACAGTACAGGCAACTCCCCATTTATGTGAGGGTCACATTCCAAAGCACCGCACGTTTAAGTGAAATCGCATATTTTGGGAACGCTATTGAAAAAGCCTGCAAACACCCTCTAAACCCCTGGAAACCCTTTAAAAACCAAAAATTCCATGACAATCCCTCCCTCCAACCCTCCTTGTTCAAACTCCAACTTTCCACAGGCGTCAAAGTCGGTGCTTGTACTTGCAAAGGCTCATGGGATTGCTAGATGCTATTTTTGTGCCATTTTTGCACCCTTTCATGCTACTTCCAGGTTAGCAGCAGTGTGCACATGCATGTGCACATGTTCCTCAAACACACGTACATGGGGAGTTGCCTGTACAGGACAGCATTAATTCATACGTGTTTGCACATTCTGAAGTGGTACATGGAATGCCTATGGAGAAGACACCACAGAACACCTAGCCTCCTGTCAGCCATATTGCTGGGCTTACCAGCAGCGAAAAGTGGTGGAATGGTGTGGACACAACAGTGGGAGCACTGGACTGGCTCCACTGATGCAGTTGCCCCATGCCTATTTTGACCAGTGCGCTGCACCAGCTAATAAACGTCAACAAGGTTAACGAAATAGTGTTTCAAGAGAGATGTAGCTGTTCCCTTTTTTTATCTGTGAAAAGGCATCTGTGTTTTGGGGCTCAGGCTGAGCACGTCTCATATGCTATAGCTTCCTCCAGGAAATAAACAAACCTCTCGAACATCCCACCCCCGCCACTATAAGCTTCCCAGAAAAGCACTTCAGCCTTAAGAACGCCAACAAATAACAGTTTTACCATGAAACCAAGGCGCCACAGTATTAGCGTTCCTCTCGAATCCAGCACGGCGCGGAAGCTGCTCTTCTTTGAACCACTGAATAATAACTTCTCTGGAGAAAGGCCTCAGAGGCCGTTCCCAGGCTTTACTGTATTAAATGAAAAGAAAAGAAGGAGGTTAAAGTCACACGGAGATTGCTGTGCCGAAATGAAATTGCACATTATGGAATAAAGGGATTTCTTTTCTAACCAGTCAATGAGGCAATTATGGTTTGGAAAATGCTATTTCCCGCTTTCTATAGTACTCTTCAGGCTAATTAAACATGAGGGTTGATTACTTAAACATGGGGGGGTGCATAAAGAAGGCACCAGGCAAGTCTTTTTGCCAAAGCCATTTCAGAACCAGGGGGCTGCCACCCAAAAGTCCATAGTAGCCACCCACCCAGGGTTCAAGAAGGCGAAGACACAAAGCAAAGAGTAATTTTCAGTGTTCAATGAAGCAGCACACTAAAATGGTTTTGAGGCTTTTCAGTTCCTGAAAAGAGATAAGAAACATGAGTCTATGGAAAAACCAGGCCTAGTTTGTTTTGCTGGCTTTCATCCTGGAGGTGGAACAGAACCTTATCTTTTGCCCAACTTCTCCATCCAGAGCTCCTGATGTGGGAGGGCACTGTTTGCACCATTTGTCTGCATTCATGCCTCTACAGCAGCGATGAGGAACATTTTCAGTCTGAGATCCGCATTGCCTAAGGGGCAACCTTCTCAGGCCTGGATGCTAGCAGTGGGTGGGGTAATGGATGCAAGTCCAACCATGACAAAAACTGAAGCCTGTACGTGTATAAGCTACAGGCATCCTGACAGTTCAATGAAACGTTCCAGCGGGGGGGGGGAATGGAGCAGTCAATTATGAGTGTGATTGAGGGGAGTCCTTGGGGGCAGATAAAGATGCCTGGTTGACCACATTTGTCCAGCCCAGCCCAGCCCAAGGATTTGGTTCCCTGCTGCTTCTCTAGGGTGTGTTCTCTCATTCTTCCAAAGTCAACATTGGATCCTTGGCTAAAGCTTCCCAGAGTGCCTGGGGCAACCCAGTAGGATGGGTGGGGTACAAGTAATAAATTGTTGTTGTTGTTCCAACCCTCCTTAACCGGCCAACTGCATTTACGTGGAGGGATGGAACATTGCTCAGCCACCTGCATAGAATTCCTTATCACCTGTGGTGACCAAGCAAGTTGTCAAATACAAGGCGATTCAGAGAGCCCAAGCCAGAATGGTAAGGCATGTAGGGAGAACTGATCCACACATTGAGATGCCTTCACAGAAATTATAGTGTGGAACCATCCCCGTGTAAACATATTCATCCATTTGACTGAACATGCTCACCAGCCTTCCTGTGATGGGAGATCCTGCATTACCAGGGTTCCTGGTAGCAAAGATGTGTGTAAGCATGTTCAGCTGAACATGCTGTCAAGCCCCTTCTATACCTTCCCATGCAATATGGGGAAGTTGAGGTGGGTGGAGTGGGCACACCCAATGCACGTGGTGGCATAAGGGCAGGGACAGCATGCGTGTGCCTGCTCCCCCTTCCCCAAACCTTCTCACATTCTTCTGAATCCACAAATAAGGCTACTGCAATGATACAGGAGATATTGCCCTGCAATCCTCAAATTCCACTAAGATGATCTAAAGATCTGATTTAAGTGTATTTTCCTGTGAGCATCAACTTTCTAGCTCTCCACAAGGATGAAGATAGCAAGGCAACCTGACTCTTTGATCATACAATAATATCACTTAAGAGATGGATAAACAGCTTTGGGTAAGTACGGAATAATTGGCATAGCCTTGCAAGGATCTTCTTGGTCTCACTTGAGTATTAAGAAAGCATTCACATCTGAATTATTGCTGAATTCCACACTAAACAGTTGCACTTTAGAACTTAAAAGGCTTAGAACTCAAAGCTGAATAATATTTAATAGCCCTTCACAATTATTGCTTTTCTTAATGTTCTTATGACTTTATTTTGGAAGAGCCTCCTTCATCTTAAGTGGCTTGGAATAACAAAAATAACCACAGTATCGCTACAAGAAGCAACTCACCAGCAAAACATAGAGAATTCACTGCCTTTCGGAGGCTACATTTTTTTATTCCCTAATCAAGCTGGGAATGCCAGCAACCATTAGAGGCACAATTCTATATCAAAACACAGCAAGACAAAGGGATTGCTTGTCAAAGTGGAACGCAAAATGCCGAGCAGAAAGGGAATAGGGTTCATTTTGCCCTGCTGAGCTGCCAGACTTCACAGGAGCAAAGACTGACAATTGAGAGTCTCGGTATTAAAAATGAAAATACAAATCGACGCAAAGAGACTTGCACTTACTTAGTGGAACTTTTGGTGTATGCCGTTGCACATTATAAAAAAAACTAACAGCATGTTCGGGTTTCCACTCGCTTGTTCATAACACCAAGACTAATTAATAATATCATATGGTGCCGTGTAAACCCAAGAGGAGCCACTGATAAAACTTTGCCTAACTCCATCTGCTATGTCGGATTGTTTTTCACTGCTGGAAACCCACAGAACTTACCAGACAGGCAAGGGATCAATAAAAATACAATCAGAGGGGGGATTAATTTGGCCAAAAGAAAACTCACAACTAAGTTGAAATGGATTTTGTAAAGAAATTCTCAACCACAACCTGACAGTTCTAACTTGCTTCATTTGCTGCATTCTTGATTACGAAGATTTCTGATTTTTTTAGTTTTAGAGGAAAACGGTGCAAAAGTACTGAACTGTACAAGGACCCTCAGATAGGGACTCTGTCCATGAAACCCAGGCGCCTTACAGCCTATATTGGCAAAGCTATGTTTGCCTGTGGTCCACTCCTAATACTCAGCTTGCTTGGTGATGCGGTATGTGAACTACTGTATATATGGCAGACACGGCAGCTATGGAGTGGAAGCAAACTCAAGGAATTCTAGATTGTGGTTTAAGCAGGCATTGATGTCTTTCTTTAAGCATACAAAAGTCTCTCTGCCTGGAATGTGAGAAGCAGGAGTGATAAGGCCTTAGTTGGAGGTCAGGCCATGCACCAGTCTGAAGAATGTACAGAATTTATAGTTCCTTGCTGTTAAGTAAATTCCCCTGCTTTAAAAAATTGAAGCAGTGACTATTGATGACATTGTCATAGCTGGAGGTAACACAATGTGCCAACATGAAGAATATATAGAGCTTGTTACTTCTTAATGTTAAGCAGATCCCTCTGCTTAAAAATAAACAAGGTGCCAGTTTGTTGATGACATTGGTATAGTCATTAAAGGTAAAGGTACCCCTGCCCGTACGGGCCAGTCTTGCCAGACTCTGGGGTTGTGCGCCCATCTCACTCAAGAGGCCGGGGGCCAGCGCTGTCCGGATACACTTCTGGGTCACGTGGCCAGCGTGACATCGCTGCTCTGGCAAGCCAGAGCCGCACACGGAAACGCCGTTTACCTTCCCGCTAGAAAGCGGTCCCTATTTATCTACTTGCACCCGGGGGTGCTTTTGAACTGCTAGGTTGGCAGGCGCTGGGACCGAGCAACGGGAGCGCACCCCGCCACGGGGATTCGAACCGCCGACCTTTCGATCGGCAAGCCCTAGGCGCTGAGGCTTTTACCCACAGCGCCACCCGCGTCCCATAGGTATAGTCATTAAGAGGCATCTAAAAGGAATCCACATAACCTGATGCCATAATACATTAGCTAGTTTTTAAGGTGTCCCAAGATTGATTGTTTATGCTGTAACATATGGACATAATCAACTCTCTGCAAAAAGTAACCACAACCTTAAAATCCACTGATATTTAAAATTGTTGGATTGTTTGCCATTTAATTCTGAATGCATTCCAGAGCAATCTTGTCAAGAATCTTGCTTCCCCTGCTGCCTCTTCCCATGGGGAAACCAGAAAAGGCCTCCATATAGGAGTCAACAGCCTCCATATAGGAGTCATAACATGTCAGTTAGGCCTGGGTCGCCTTATTAATACAAACAAACCTGGTTGATACCGTCATGGTGAATGCTGGAATGGGACAGGTGTCATTCAGCTTTGCTTCTGGCTCGATATTCAGACCAGCTGCCTGGAACAGGTTACTGAGACCAGCCACTTTTCCTTTCTGGATTGCCCGCAAGGATTGTCGCCGGTACTCATCCCGGGCCCGGCGTGCTTTATGGCTCCTTTCCTCATCCGCAGCTTTTGAGCGACGTACTGTAGGGATGAGGAAGGAGAGACTCGTCAGAGTGTCTTTGCTTTTTCGGCAAGCCAGAACATGCAGTTCTAAGTTGAGAGGTAACATGTCAGCAACATGGAAAGCCATTGAATCCCAACACATCAAGTTGAGGCTGGAAGACCTTCTGTACCTAATAGAAAAATAACACATAACATTCCACAAATAAGGCACCAAGGGTCAAACTCTATATTGTTTGGCTAAGCCACAGTGACATGTTCACCTCGCCTTACCAGCTTGCTTGCTTTTTTCCATACAGAGACTTTTTAATATAACTGTGGGTTTAGAGCAGGAGTTGCCAACACAGTGCACATGGGCACTATGAAGACTTTCATTGGCACCCATGGGCAGGTGCTCCAGAATCTGTGCTTCCATTTTCAAAAAAGTAAGCCTCTAGCCCTCCTAAAAATAAAGTTATGGAACCAAAATGTGCAAGCCCCTTTCTAAATGATTTCTGTGAAATGAACTAGGCTGTGTTTTCAGCCAATGAGTAAAGTCAGAAACTGTGATTCACAAGTGAGTTGTTTTAATGCCAGGCAGTAGGAATCCCTGAGGTCAGTAGCATAGCATGTGGGGCCAAGGGGGCCATGGCCCCAGACGCAAAATTCTGAGGTGACACAACCAGGTGCCCCCATGCAAGTGCCGGTTTCTGCAGGGATCCCCATCCCACTGTGGTGAAGGCAGCAGAGCAGCCCAGGTTCACAGTGAGTGGGCATGGACAGAGGAAGGCCAGCCCAGAGCTCCTCTCTGTGGGCGTTGGAGGGATTCACCCACCAAGGGCCGCAGCAGCTGGCTGGGGTCCTCCCAGGACAGACAGACCCCCACTTGGCTCTGGTGGGGGGGGCGCTTTGCGGATGTCAGCAGCTTGCCTGCCCTGGGCACCAGCAACACACGCTACATCACTGCCTGAGGTGCTAAAGTGCTGCAACTTTGCCTCCCCTGTAGTACATTTTTCCTGCTTCTGTCTTATTTTATAGTGTTTGGAATCACCATAGTTTGTCCTTCATTTTCCCCTAGCAACCAGGAAGCATCTTTCCTATTGGGGGGAATGAAGGATCTGATTTCAATTCAATATGAACCTGCCTAATTCACATGTCTCGAACTAACACACAAACCAAATTGCAGCTCTGCTATGAAACGGGCACTTCTTTGAATTTTGCCACCAGCTCCTGAAGGGACCATCAGTCAGCCTGAGAGGATTCTGTTGCTGTATATTTTATCCCAGATATTTGCTTTGGTATTTTATAATTATAAACCACCTTGGGTGCCTTGGCAGAAAAGCACTGTATGAATGCAATAAATGAGTAAATGAGGCAAAATTTCATTGGGGGGAAAAATGTAGACAGAAATTGGGGCTAGGGTCTAAAATGGAGAATGCATTACTGGCACAGGAAAAACAAGTACAGAATAATCATAACAGCAAAGCATATTGGCTGCTCTGATAGGATTTCTAACCGCAAGTTCTTTGATAAAGATGTGAATGAATTCCTACTGTGTTGGGAATGAACTTGAGCAAGTCGCATCATTTGGGACAGATTAGGAGATCTCCATATTTTATGGCCTCCTTTGCTTTTCTGAAGAGCAGTGAGTCACAGGGCTAGGCTTGGATGTATATTATAAGAATGTCGCATGAATATGCATCACATTTTTTTAATGATTTGCTCCAGCTGCTAGCTTGTTAATAGTCCTTGGTCTGTAGCTAATTTGGGAACAACTCGCAATAAATATTCAAGATAGAAATGGTATTTGACTGCAAACATTGCATGGTATGTTTCTGTTCTTCAGTTGAAGGGGGGGGATAATTCTTGGAAAACAAGAAAACACGCAAGCTGAGATCGCATCAATGAAAATTCAAGTAGTGCATGCCTATTATCCATGCACTGGCAAAATGCCCATCATTATGACAGGTGCCGTGTGTGCAGAGGGAAGAAATGGCACACCACAGTGCATTTCTGTGCGATCTACGAACAGACACATCTCTCCAGGAGCGCAAGTGAGAGCCAAAGTCAGGTGTTGCCCTGATCGCACAAGCGTGCTCACAAGTGCAATGTTTTGCTTTTCTCCAAAGAAGCATAAGGCCAGGGGGCCATCTCGCCCTCAGGACAGTGGGCTTGGATCTCATCTATAAGCTCCCTACTGGGGTCAAGAGGGAAGCCATCACCACCATGTCTTACTTGTGAGAACCAGAGGAATCTGGCTGGGCGAATGTTATCATGCCAGACCTTGCTTGGACCCAGCAATGAAATGAAGCGCTGGTGTCCACGTTTGAGAAATGCCCATGTAACATAGTTTGTTTTTTTAGCACTAGCAGGCTATATATTTCAATTACCTATAGAAGAATGGTGTTGTTCTTTGTTTGGCTCGACGAAAGGAACCACAGCAGTGAATTAAACCGAACACTAAAATTAGTAACGCTTCGCCTATTGACTTGGCAATAAATAGCGGTGGGATGATGAGATGAATCCCCATTCTGTTGGAAATTCCATCTACTAAATAAATTAGTAGTGTCATCAATATCATTGCAACGTTCACCCTCCACAGCAGCTGCGCTAGCAATGCGCCTCTTCGACCCCCCGACCCCTGGCACTGCTGAGCACAGCCGCTGACTTGGTGGTGGCAAGACATGATGGGACCTGGCGCTGCTCCTAATGGATAATTTGGCTCCCGCAGTCAGCACATAACAGCAAAACGACGCAAACACTGACATCGCTGCATCTTCCTGGCCTCTGATGCTGGTGGACAGAAGCCAGGTTGGCATTGCCATACAGTTGAGGGGTAACAACAGGGCATGATTAGTCCATACAGTCTTGGATCATATGAAGGCACAAGCCTGAGATACAAGCAAGGACCAGAGGTGTCATTTCAGTAAATGGGGCAAGACTGCTCACAGCATAAGTTAAAACACAATAAACAGATATATTAAAAAGAAAACAAGTGTGACCCAAGTAAAAACAGCATTGAAAACACAGATGGAAGATTGAGATAAAATGGTGATAGAGAACTATAGATAGATATAACTGTGTTTTATGAGAATCATGAATATTGTATTTTGTTTTTTGTTTTTTCTATATTACTCTTTTTTATCTATTTCCTTTTATTATCTTTGTATAAGAGAGCTTGGATTTTATTTCCTAATATGTAAAGGTAAAGGTAAAGGTACCCCTGCCCGTACGGGCCAGTCTTGACAGGACTCTAGGGTTGTGCGCTCATCTCACTCTAGAGGCCGGGAGCCAGCGCTGTCCGCAGACACTTCCGGGTCACGTGGCCAGCGTGACAAGCTGCATCTGGCGAGCCAGCGCAGCACACGGAACGCCGTTTACCTTCCCGCTAGTAAGCGGTCCCTATTTATCTACTTGCACCCGAGGGTGCTTTCGAACTGCTAGGTTGGCAGGCGCTGGGACCAAACGACGGGAGCGCACCACGCCGCGGGGATTCGAACCACCAACCTTTCGATCGGCAAGCCCTAGGCACTGAGGCTTTTACCCACAGCGCCACCCGCGTCCCCCTCCTAATATGTAAAAAACCTCTAATAAAATTCTACAGTGGCACCTTGGTTCTCAAACTTAATTTGTTCCAGAAGTCCGCTCCAAAACCAAAGCGTTCCAAAACCAAGGCACGCTTTACCACAGAAAGTAATGCAAAATGGATTAATCTGTTCCAGACTTTTAAAAACAACCCCTATAACAGCAATTTAACATGAATTTTACTATCTAACGAGACCATTGATCCATAAAATGAAAGCAATAAACAATGTACTGCAGTCACACAATCAATCAATCAGTAGCTGAATTGGGTTACCACACAGTCACAAAAACAAAAGAGCCACAAAAACGCAAAATAAATAGCAAAATCAGACAAACCTCAGCATAACACTCAAAACGGAAGCATAGCACTCAAATTGGAAGCATAACACTCAAAACAGAGCATGTTCAGCTTCCGAAAAAAGTTCGCAAACCAGAACACTTACTTCTGGGTTTGCAGTGTTTGGGTTCCAAGTTGTTTGAGTACCAAGGCGTTTGAGAACCAAGGTACCACTGTACTACAAAACACAAAAGCACACACAGAAACAAAAATACAACACCCACCCTCAGAAGACTCTGCCAGTTAGTTGCCAATCACTGTCAGAACAAAACAGTCTTTGCCTGCTAATGAACACAATCCAGAGCGATACCAGCTTAGCTTCCGATGCAAGGGAGTTCCACGATCTGGGAGCAGCCTCTAAGAAGGCCATCTTTCTTTCTTAGGAGGGAGAAATGGGTCAGGGGTCTCTCATTTAGGTCTAGATCTCCCCTTTCAGTGGTGAAAAGGTTACCACTTCTCTCAAGTAATGAGATAAGGCTTTTTACTATTATTGAAGATATATTTTTATTTTACAGTTACCAAGTTCCTGACTCTCCGCTCCCCCATATATCCACACAGGATCACTTATAAAAGGGCAGAAATCATGTGACACCAGGATATAGCTCAGTTGGCAGAGCATGAGACTCCTTATCTCAGGGTCACAGGTTTGAGCCCCATGTTGGGCAAAAGATTTTTGATTTGCAGGGGGCTGGCCTAATTGACCCTTGTGGTCCCTTCCAACCCTATTAATCTGTGTAACCACAATGACAGAAATCAGGCAATCCCAGTACTAAGGTTCCTTCCAAGTCTGCTTCAAGAGACAATATCTCCTTTTCAGCAACAGGGCTTAGAATTATTCCTGAAATAATCAGTATTCCTTCCCCCCCCCCCATTGATTAGAAGCCAGGTACAATCATAGTTAATGGGAATATCATTTGTCACATGCAAAATTAATTTGGTTCAAAGTGACCTGATCTCATATGAATGGCAGGTCACAGTCCTTAGGTAATTGACATTCAATAAATTATTCCAAATTCTATGAATAAGGTTGTATTCATAGATAATGTGGCCCCTGCTATAACACAACGGAGATCCACAACGGCACTCGACGCAAGGCAGCGGTACTTTGGTTGTTACTTTGTAAAGTGCTTAACATTTAACCAGATCACAGCAGCAAATTAAAACAAATCACAAGCCCGTGCCCAAAGGTTTGCAATCTAAACAAATATGACACAAAGGGAATCAGAAGGACGACAAATAAAAAAAAATAAAAAAAGAAGGACGACAAATGGGATCCTAAATCGAGGGTCCTGGTTGCTCTCGGGACCCTTAAGCCACCCCCACGGGGTGTGTGGTTGCTAGGCATGGCCCAAGGCTTGTCTGTTGAGCCCCGGGATCGCGCTTGGCTGTTTGGGCAAGTTGGGGCAAGTGGTGTGATCCCGGGGACCTATAAATGCGGCAGCACGGCGGGGGTGGGGCACTTGCTTCACGCTGCTGAACACCCTCCCTCCCTCCCTATTTTAGGTGCTGCTGCTTTGGCCTTGCTTTGGATTGGGTTGCCTGCTTTGGAGCAGGGGCTGGGTAAGAATTTTTCCATTTGGCAGATTGGCTTTAGCCACTTGGTTTTCATCTACTTCCTTAGCAATCGTCAGAACTTTGTAAGGTTTGGTGGTTAGGCATTGGTTTATAGAAATGTGCGGGAGGGGAGGTGTGGCCATCACCTGCCCCTCCAGAAATAGGTTAAAGGAATCTGGGTGTCCTGGATCTCGTCCAAAGTCTGCTTGAGGGGCTAGGGCCATGCCAGGACCACAGGAAACCCAGGGTGAGCTTCAATCGATCTTCACCGATGTTGCCCCCTCGTTTGGTGTTTACCCTTTCAGACTGCCAGCCAGAGAGGTAGGAGTCAGTTATAGTCCCTGACCATTGCCTAGGCCAATCCTGCTCAATTTGTTTTGTAATCAATAAAGCTGTGGCCTAAATTTTGCACAAAAACTTAAACTAAAATTATGTGTCCGTTTGAAGTTATTTACTGGGAAAGGGCTTGGGGGCCTCGGGGCGCAACATTATATATTGGGAATGCCAGTTTGAACTTGTTAAGCACATAAAAACAATCAAGTTGGCATTTTGCATGCATCCTTACTCCTCCCTTGCCAGAGGTAGTGACATTCCTCCCTGGTGCTCTGAATATGGCAACCGACTTCATCTATAGCAAGATCAGATCCAACCTACCCACTGAAGTGGGTGTTCGAAGCACAACAATCGGGAGGGACGGTGGGAGACCCAAGAAAGATATGCAGTGGGCCCACCTTTATTCCTGGGGTCAATCAGGCAACCAATCCATTGGCCAATCTGGCCGGCAGGCTCACCTGGAATCTTTCCAGCCAAAGGGAAAGGCCTGTTACATCTCCCTCTGGTGGGAAGACCCAGCACAGGGACTGCTTTGGCAGCGGGCTGGCCCTATTCTTCAACACCACACTACTGTGGAGATAGGTGGAATTATTACACCACTCTGGGATTTATAGCTCAGTGAGTGGAATAGGGGTCTCTTAACAACTCTCATCCCCCTTAAGAAACTACGGTTCCTGTGTTTCCTCAACAGGCTTCCTCAAACTCGGCCCTCCAGATGTTTTGAGACTACAATTCCCATCATCCCTGACCACTGGTCCTGCTAGCTAAGGATCATAGGAGTTGTAGCCCAAAAACATCTGGAAGGCCGAGTTTGAGGAGTGGGATGATACTGCTTTAAATGTATAGTGCAGATGGGACCTTAGATACAGACAACTCAGAAATACTAAGAATAAAGTGCAGGATTAATATCTTTTTGCATGGTTTCTCAACCATGTGAACCGTACCTGCAGTCTGAAGTGGTACAGCCCCAGCAAAAGTTTGCTCATCTTCTGTTGGTTTTTTTAAAATAATTAGGCTAGAGTCTGAGGTTTAAGGGGACGCGGGTGGCGCTGTGGGTAAAAGCCTCAGCGCCTAGGGCTTGCCGATCAAAAGGTTGGCGGTTCAAATCCCCGCGGTGGGGCACGCTCCCATTGTTCGGTCCCAGCGCCTGCCAACCTAGCAGTTCGAAAGCACCCCCGGGTGCAAGTAGATAAATAGGGACCGCTTACCAGCGGGAAGGTAAATGGCGTTCCGTGTGCTGCGCTGGCTCACCAGATACAGCTTTGTCACACTGGCCACGTGACCCGGAAGTGTCTGCGGACAGCGCTGGCCCCCGGCCTCTTGAGTGAGATGGGTGCACAACCCCAGAGTCTGTCAAGACTGGCCCGTACGGGCAGAGGTACCTTTACCTTTACCTTTTACTGAGGTTTAAAGCCAGTAAATTCCACTTATTACTACTAGTTTCGGTGTCCTTGAATAGGATTCTCAACACACCAATATATATCTCTTCCAGGACTAAAGTAGCGAATACAATGATGATGCAGATAAAATTCACTTTCATATTGCTTTTTTCTGGTGCTTTTTATTAGCATTCTTCATAAACCAAAAAATGAAAATGAAATGAGATAAGGTGGTTATGCATTTTATTGGGCCAACTAATTTGTTTTGTATTCTTTGAGACCCGGTAAGTAGCAGTAAGCTAGCACAAGATTCATAAACAAGAACTCACCAAGGAAAATGGAAAATACGCAGAAAATCACATCAGTCCAGCAAAAACGACACTGAAAGCTCAAATACTGGAGCAAAGTGTTTGTGTTAAAATTCCTGTAAGATCAACAGGAGAGGTGTTGCTCCTCCAACCCCCCACTCCTCTTGTTGTCTGACTCCAGATTCCCATCAGCTTCAGCTAGCATGACCAATGGTGTTAAGGTCAAGGTGGCGGAAAATGCAGTTATCAGCATTTGAAGGGACACAGGTTCCCCATCCCTGATCTAAGCTATCAAAGCTCTTTCTTCCTGTTGAGCCATTTAGAAAGGCACCGTGTTTTTGTCCTTCGTAATCCTACCAGTTCTTCCGGATCACAATGCTTTCCATTCAAGGCCCAGCTCACAAATCGTATGGCATCACACTGCCATTTTCTCAGGCTAAACCAAGATCTCGGCATCATTTAAAGCCCTCTTTCGGTTAAAATTTACTCACGTTGTTCTTCCCATTCATGGTCTTCCTTTTCATTCTGCGGGCTATACTGCTGGGCTTGCTTAAGGCTCAGGTACAGCTCTTGAGCTCTGCGTTCCTCCTGTTGCCGTATCTGCTCTTCACCTCTTTGCCTCTCTTCTTCCTCTCTTTTCTAAAAAAATTTAAAAAAAAGGATGGAGGGTATATCAAACAGCAAATAAGGAAACTTCCTGTGTCACATGCTATGACTCCCCAAAGCATTTCATTGGCAGGATTCTTGACAACTCTACTGTGGGAAGCCAAACCATCCTGCACTATGATTGGTGACACATTAGATTTTTTAAATAATAATAATAATAATTGTTGGTGCTCTGATTGATCAAGTGTGAGTGGCTAACCCATTTAACAGCATATCTCGTCCATAGTTAACTCATTAGGCTGACTGTATCTGAAGAAGTGTGCAAGCACACGAAAGCTTACACCCAGAACAAACTTAGTTGGTCTCTAAGGCGCTATTGGACAATTTTTTAATTTTTTCACTAGGTTGTCTGAAATACATACCTTGGTAACTTCCGCATTGGATTACTGCAATGCTCTCTGCATGGGACTGCCTTTGAAGAACATCTAGAAACTTTTAACTGGTTCAAAGTGCCCACTATACCCTATAAAACCCTAAATCAAAAATGGATAGCCTGTGGTCCATCCCTGTCAGCCAGCATGACCATGATGGTGGAAGTGCACCAGTTCCCCATCCCTGCCCTAAATGTTCTCAGTCCAGAATGCTGCCCATAGCTCCATAGCAGAGCTCTGAGTTTGCATGCCAAAAATCCCAGTTTCAACCATTTGCATAGCAGGACTGGGGGAAGTCCCAGTTTAAGATGCTGGAGACCTGCTGCCTGTGGGACAAAATAATAAGGGATGTAATGCAGCTTTGTATTATTATGGGGAGAATTTGCTCTGGTATGAGTCCCCATCAACAGGGATGCGTAGGCTTCCTCTTGCTTATCCCCAAAATAACATTGGAGGAGAAGAAGAAGAAGAAGAGGAGAAGGAGGAGGAGGAGGAGGAGGAGGAGGAGGAGGAGGAGGAATTTATTATTTCCCCAGCCACTCTGGGCGGCTTCCAATCGAGTGTTAAAAACAATACAGCATTAAATATTAAAAACTTCCCTAAACAGGGCTGCCTTCAGATGTCTTTTAAAGAGAAGATAGCTGCTTATTTCCTTCACATCTGAAGGGAGGGTGTTCCACAGGGCGGGCGCCACTACCAAGAAGGCCCTCAGTCTGGTTCCCTGTAACTTGGCTTCTTGCAATGAGGGAACTGCCAGAAGGCACTCGGCGCTGGACCTCAGTGTCCGGGCTGGACAATGGGGGTGGAGACACTCCTTCAGGTATACAGGACCGAGGCCGTTTAGGGCTTTAAAGGTCAGCACCAACACTTTGAATTGTGCACGGAAACGTACTGGGAGCCAATGCAGATCTCTCAGAACTGGTGTTATGTGGTCCCGGCGGCCACTCCCAGTCACCAGTCTAGCTGCCGCATTCTGGATTAATTGCAGTTTCCAGGTCACCTTCAAAGGTAGCCCATGTATAGCGCATTGCAGTAGTCCAAGCGGGGGGAAATGAGAACAAAGAGCAAATAAATAAATACTGGAAAGGAAGTATGCAGCCTCTCACTTCTCTAATTGTCCAAGACTTTCTGGAGAGAAAACAATCCTATTGTTTGGAAATTACTGTATATACTTGAGTATAAGCCGACCCGAATATAAGCCAAGGCACCTAATTTTACCACAAAAAAACCGGGAAAATTTATTGACTCGAGTATAAGCCGGTTCATCACACCACAAACCTCCTGGTGGGCTGGAGTGTGTGCACACATGCGCACACGGCAGAGGGGGCTTCTCTCTCCCCCCCTCCAGCCCATCCCCCTGCCTACCTAGGGTGCTGCCGAGAGGCAGAGGCTGGTGGCGGCAGCAGTGGAGGAAGAACAAGCAGCCCGAAAGGGGTGGGACCCTCACTCGAGTAGAAGCCGAGGGGGGCTTTTTCAGCATAAAAAAATGTGCTGAAAAAGTCGGCTTATACACGAGTATAGACGGTAAGTCCCATTGCACAAGATGGGGGCAGTCCATTGAGTCCATTGAGTTCAAACAAGGACAAATAAATGAGCTACATTTATATCTGTGCAAATGTAATGTCAGGAGTGTGCCCTAACTCTTTACGCAGTTTGTCATAAAAGTTTCCACTAATTGCTGTATCCACACACAAACCAGATGAGCTGTTGACAGCAGAGAAATACAAGAGGCTGCGCAGAAGACTTAAGAAATCGCTTTGTTTCTATGAAGAGCGTTGCCTTTTTGTTTCTTAACAGCTTGGTTCTCAGTGCTGTTGCACCTTGAGAGATGCTGGGTGCGTAGTGGGAGTTTTAGCACTGTCAACATTCAAAGATCTTTCAAAAGAAGATCCTACACTGTTTCTTCCTGACCTTTAAAATACCAGCAAGCGCTCAGGTTGCTTCACTGCTCAGAGACAAGCATTTTTATTTATTTAAGAATACAGTTAAGGAGAGTTGGCACTTTCTATTAGTAAGGAGAGGGGAAGAAAATAAACAAAGACAGGTGTTTTAGGCTTCACAAGGATGGTCTCTCTAGATGGTTTCTGCCCAATGACATTTCAAAAATGACTGGAATAAAGTAAGCAATTTGCTAATTATAGGCAATTATGATATTCAAGGAATATAAAATTGGAAAGAGTGCAACTTTGTACCTTTGGGGGGTAATCAAAGTGTTTTTCCAGGTGGTCTGAATATAAGGGCGACATCTCGTTCAGCTTCAGTTAAGTAGGCCTCATGAAATTTCGTACTTGCCGTTTATATCAGCTGGGAACTCGGCAACTTGTTTTACAGAGGATGTCGGTGCATGATGAGACCCATGAAAGTTAACAAGACCCTGCAGAGTTTCCAGGCCAAACCCTAAGAGGGTCTCTCTCCCTTTAGGGTAGTTGTTCCTCAACCTTTTAATGCCCAGGGAAAAAATATTCGAGGCATACTCGACACAATGCAAAACTTAGTTTATCATCTCTAGGAATAATAGGTAGACGTCCTTCTCACAATTTTGAGATAGCCCAGTTCATTGCCTTCAGCCTTCCAGTTAGTCATGGTCCAGAGACAACCTGCACTTTCTGGGCAACAGCCATAGAACAGGTTGCATAAGGAAGGCTACAGAACATCCTTCCTAAAGGTTATGTCCCTCCCCTCCCCTAACATGGGACAGTGGTTGCTGCATGTGGCTTATCTGCTCCTACAGATGATGATGATGATGATAATAATAATAATAATAATAATAATAATAATAATAATAATAATAATTTATTTGTACCCCGCCCATCTGGCTGGATTTCCCCAGCCACTCTGGGCGGCTTCCACAGAGACCAAAATACACTAAAATGTCACACATTAAAAACTTCCCTGAACAGGGCTGCCTTAAGATGTCTTCTGAATGTCAGGTAGTTGTTTATGGCTTTGACATCTGATGGGAGGGCATTCCACAGGGCAGGCGCCACTACCGAGAAGGCCCTCTGCCTGGTTCCCTGTAGCTTTGCTTCTCGCAATGAGGGAACCGCCAGAAGGCCCTCAGCGCTGGACCTCAGCGTCTGTGCAGAACGGTGGGGGTGGAGACGCTCCTTCAGATATACTGGACCGAGGCCATTTAGGGCTTTACAGGTCAACACCAATACTTTGAATTGTGCTCGGAAACGTACTGGGAGCCAATGTAGGTCTTTCAAGACCGGTGTTATGTGGTCTCGGAGGCCGCCCCCAGTCACCAGTCTAGCTGCCGCATTCTGGATTAGTTGTAGATATAGTGGCAGATGTACTCAACAGGGGCAGATTTAGACACTGAGCCAAGAACTTGCTGTTTCAAAGCCAGGTAAGCAAGGCGCTGGACTTTGGGAAGGTGTGAGGCTCTGACAGGGTCCTATAGTCCTCCCCTCCCAAAACCTCATTAGCACTTTCCCAGCTTTGAGAAGGAAGTAGGAAGGCACTAGGATCCTGACGGAGCCCTCATGCATCCTTCCCAAAGCCAGTTGCCTCTTTACCCACCTTTGGGAAGATAGCGTGAGGGCTGAGTGGGGCATCAAATTTTGGCCTTGCACAGGGTGCCATAATACCTAAGTCCACCCTTGTAGTCAACATGGCAGTTTCATTTTGAAAATGTTCAGTTCCCCTAACTAGTGTGCCCTGAATACAGCTTAGAAATCACTGCTTTAGAAATTCCTTTAAAAATGTGGCATGGCCCCTGGCAGACATTTCTATTCTACACAAGTCTGAAAGAGAACAATGGTGTGGACTTTTCCATGGCACTGGAGCTGGAAACCATACATTTGTGTTAGCAGAACTTTTTCATTACTGAGGTTCCATTGAGACATTGTTACTCATAGAGTGTGAACGTTATGCCCATTTTACAGTCATAAAACAGATGTCATCTACCGCATCTGGTAATGGGACCTGTCACATAATAGATGCCTCTCTACAGGATCCTCTTATATTTGTTATGTTAATCAAGTAACGGCATACCAGCAAAAACTACGGTGGAGCCCTGAGAGGGCTGAAAGAGAATTATTTCCTAGTAAGAAAACTGTTTGCCTTCTTCAAGCATGGAGAGAGTTTTAATTAAAGTCAAAGGAGATATGTGCATAATAATAAAAAAGTTGTCCTTTATAATGCACAGCTCAGTTCTGATGCTATGAGAAGTAATTTCCTGTTCCTCCTCTAGCCTTCCTACCAAAACCAGGGTTGAAATCAACCCCAGGTTCACTTTTCATTACAGAATTTGAACAGAAGCAAACCTACAGTAGAGTCCTTCTAGAATAGTGTCACCTGCATAGTAGTAAACAATATCCACACTTCAGCCACCTACGATTTACAGTTTTCCTTCTATAAACAAAAAGTGCTGAGGCAAAAAATAGTTAATGAACTCTGTTGATTTTTGCAATTGGCATGCTTTTTGAGGGGTATCAGTTAATAAAAGGTAAAGGTACCCCTGCCCGTACGGGCCAGTCTTGACAGACTCTCAGTTAATACACTGGGGTAAAAATGTCCCATGTAGTTTTTTCAAGCAAAAAAAAGTAGGGGCCCATGGAAAGAGATAAGTGCTTTTTCTCTGACAAAACATGCATGAATTTCTTATGGAACATTTTACCACCCTGAGACACACTGGAATTCAGCTTAGGGTAGCAAAATACCATATTAAATTGTCTGTGCCAATTCCTTCATTTCTGTCTATGAAAGCTAGTACATATAGCAAAGAAACATTGAATATGCAATCCATTGGTGTTTGTTGATGTTTTACCACAAACAACACACTCCGAATTCACCCCAAAATTCTACGGGCTGGTTCACATATGCATTTCCATCTCTCGGTTACCACAACAGGGTGTGCAAATGACCCAGAACTATCCTGAGACATCCCAAAAGTGAATTATTACATCATCTCATGCTTTTCAGTAGAGTCCATTCATAGACTCATCTTCCAGCCATCATTATTACAATATTGCCAAGAGAAAGAAGGATTCCCTATTCACTTTGGTAAGTGAAGATATAATTTGTCTCATCTGGCCAACTTTTGTATCCTGATATATAGCAGAAGGAATAAAAGTGATTTTTTTGAGAGAGGGGTCTGATAATACTGTGTGATTAATGGTTAGACCCCTTCTCACAATGGACAGCACACTTTCATTTCCCAAATCAAAACGCTTCCAGATGATGAAACTTTAATGGAGTTCATGGTTTTTGTTCTCTCTCTTCTGAAGATTGTATCAGATATTGCCCTGGTCATTTTTCCAAGAAAAAATATATATTAATGGTGTATTAAATATTTTAAGCATTGTAAAATGAGCATGTTAACTCGTCTGCAACTATTCCACCCCTGCTGAACCATTCATTAAAGTTTCGTTTCTTCATTTCTTCAAGCATGAACAGATTTTTAACTGAAGCACCCATGTGCATCCTTGTAACAGCATTTGTTCCTGTAGAGCAGTGGTGTCCAAACTTTTTTAAGAGGGCCAGATTTGATGAAGTGAAGGGCTGTGAGGACCGACCAAAGGGCCGACCAAGGTTGTTGAGCTTTTTTTAGAGTTGAAGTTGTTCTTTAGGATTTTAACCCAGGAAATAAACTGCTACAGGGGCTGGATTAAACCGACTGAAGCAGACTTTGGACATGCCTCCTGTAGAGGGAAGAAAGATCTGGGGGTGCTTCCAGATTAGTGTCTGTGGAATTGCAAGTGTCAGGAGGTATAGCAGTTTTTGTGTCTGTACATCCAGCCAAGTTCAACATCCAGCTATTAATTCCCCCCCCCTTTTTTTTTGGAGGGGGAGGTTGTGATTTGTTTTAAGAGTTGCATTGTTTTACAAATTTTAAGAACCTTAATAGACACAAAGGGCAGTGAATAGAGTATCTTTAAAAAATGGCACTTTGTACCAGCATCATCTCAAAGGGCAAATCCACCGTTTCGTAAAGTGGCCAGACCTGACCTCAATCAGGTCAACTCCTGCTAAAGGGGGAGAGGGGGCAGAGAGTGGAAATCCTAGAGAACAACAAAAAAAAAAATCCCACCAAATTTTATTTTTTTCAAATTCTGCTATAGTTTTCTTTGTCTGAATCATGTATAGAAGAAGCCAAACAAACAAGTCTTCATATGGACATTTGAAACTGGGGGTTGCAAAATACCAGCGAGGCTAATGACCCCCAGAGAGGGGTAACTCCCTTGATTCAGAAGCTATACTAATGTTAGTGGAGGTGGCATTTGACCCATCCACTTTAGCAGCCAAGGAAGCTGTTGTGAGGTTTTCAGCTGAACCTCCTACAGCTTATCCGTATGGATCACTATGTATGAAACATTTCCACCCATTGCGCTTGTGGAAAGTGCCGTTTGATTCCAGCACACAGGCCGAGCAGCTGTTTTTGAGGGCAGGGGGGTCACCCAAGGTCAAGAGGCTTTTGCGCTTAGGGGGCAGAGGTGTGTTATAACTGCTCATTAAATCTGGAGTACAGTCGTAACAAAGCCACTCATATGGGGGGGGGGAACGCTGCTATTTGCTCCCTTACAAAAGAAAAAAAAAAGTTGCAGAGCACCTCATTTCATGAAGCACAGGAAGACTAATTGTGAATCTGCCAAAAAAGAGAGTTGTGCACAAGGGAACAGATAAAGAAACTGTTGTTCTGCGTGTGTCTTCCACCAACCAGACTCCAGTTTTTTATTTGTAGGAAACAGGAGAAAAACGGCTTCCATCTACTACTAGGGTTGCTAGGCTGCAACCTTGGACCTCTAAATCTCTAACTTAATTGGGAGATAAGGCACTTGCGGCTTCTCCTGCAATGTGTTCCTGCTCCCCGGATTTTTACATCCACATCTCATCTCTGCAAGCTATAGCAAACAGGGCTCTGGTTATGTCAAACCACAGGCAGGGTGGAGGAAGAGGGGGTGGGAAAGAATCACATCAAAGGGGAAAGGAGCAGGAGAAATGCCTGCTTCATCTTCTGGTTGAGTGGCAGATTAAAAAGTTCCAAGGGAAGTCTCCAGGACCCAGATCCAACCTGGTGGCTCTTCCATTTCCCACATTATCCTTGCAGCCACTTCCTCCCATCCCTGCGCCAAGATCCCCGCCTTCTGCCTACAAAGTCCACAGCTTTGCTGCAGTAAAGAAGAGCTCAAATACAAATCTTTCAAATGAAGCTGTAGAAAACACACTAAATACAGCCTCTCAGAGTGGCTGGGGAAACTCAGCCAGATGGGTGGGGTATTATTATTATTATTATTATTATTATTATTATTATTATTATTATGTGAAATGCATTCCTGTGGAGCCAACTAGAAAATGCACACAAGTACATTTTTTTCACACACTTCAGGTTCAGTTGGAATTGAATAAAATACAAGACATGGAGCACAAACAGCTTCAACTTGGGGGGCCCCACCCCCTCAAATATCTTATTGGAGGGGGAGAAGGGATCTCGGTCCCTAGGAATTGGTTCCTATAATAAGAACTTTTTAGGATCTTACAAATCTGGAATTTGTAGGTTGGGGTTCATGTTACCAATGGTTTTCAATAGTTTTCAAATGACGCCAATATTTCTCCCCCCCCCCCCATACACACACATGTAGAAAAACAACTCAGTGTAGGTGGTCTTGCTCAGAAATAGACCAAAAGGAAAATATTTCAGTGCTCTCTTCCCCGGTGCCAGTTCTCCTATCAAATCTGCACTTCTGCCATGTGACATCAGTCCTTAACGTGTGTTAATTTTCAATTTTGTATATATCCTGTGCATGAAACTAGATGTGATGTTTGATGCAGGTCTCCCATTTCCTGGAACATTTAGTCAATACATCCTATTAGGTAGAGTGAGGCAGCTGCCTCAAGCAGCAAATGAAGAATGGTAGCGAGAGGTTGAAGAACATGCCACATGATCTGCCTGTGTCCACCTATATAATAATAATAATAATAATTTATTATTTATACCCCGCCCATCTGGCTGGGTTTCCCCAGCCACTCTGGACAGCTTCCAACTGAATATTAAAAACAATACAGCATTAGACATTAAAAACTTCCCTAAAGAGGGCTGCCTTCAGTTGTCTTTTAAAAGTAAAATAGTTGTTTATTGCCTTGACATCTGCTGGGAGCTAGTCAGCTACCCTTGAGTGACTGGATTACACTGTCCAGTCCAGTAATGATGAAATCCTCAGCTGCCAGTCCAGTCAGCTTCTGTACGTGGAATGGAGAAGGGTAGACATTTGTCCTTCAACTACAGCAGCAAAATGTATTGGGTCACCTCTGGTCCCCATCACTGGGTGGCTGCTACTGGCAGGGGCAAAAAACTTTGGGAAGTGTCACAGGTAAATCTGGGGGAAAATAAGATAATAAGGTGGAGAATATTACACAGGGCTGCTCTTTTCAGCTACCACAGATCCTAAGGGCCAACTCCATTTGTACTTATCATCTCAAAGAGAGCCTTCACCATGAGTGAAAATGCCGTGATATTCCGAGGGAGTCTTGCCATCCCAGGAAGATCAATGGCAGAATGCAAACATATAAGTTAAGGGAGTCAACAAACCTTTAATTCCTCCTGAATTTTCTCCTCCATCATTTTGGCTGCTTTGCGATCTTCTGTCTCTATCTTCCACTTCTCTGCCACTATTCGAGCCTTCTCCTTCGCCATAGCATCTCGAAACTTCTTTGTGATTTCCGCTTCTTTTTGCTTCCTTTAAAAAAAGGGAGCAGGTAGGCAAGTAAAAAAAAAAAAGTAAAAACAGCAAAGAGGATTGTGACTCCTTAAAAGCTCACATGTTTATTTTGAGGTATACCAGGGATTAGGAAACACATAGACTTGGTGGGCCAGATCTTTACCTCCCCACCGAGCAGTCAAAGTTGGCCTGCAGGATAGACAAAGATAAAGATCAAGCAAGATTGAATTACACACTCATGAACTGATGTGCAGGGAATTTAGTCCTGCTTTCCAGCTGCAGGATCCAGCCACATCTCTGCCTGCCCCACATATGACATCTGCTATGGGCCCAATGGGAAGACCTAGTGGTCCAAATTTGGCCTGCAGGGTAGAGGTTCCCCAACATAAGCTTTTACATACTGTTTATAATTCCTTCCTACCCTCTATACCCATATATATCTGCCAACCAAGGATAAAATTTCACTCCCAATAGGTTGCCTGTGGTGTGATGAGAGTGGGGACAGGATCTCAGACTGTAATTCACAGCAAGATCTCACTGAGAATGGTAATTATTGGCATTCTTTCAAGCAACCACCCTACTGTCTGAGAGACAAAACCTCAGAACTGAAGACTAAAGCTCCATGGATTCTGATGATTCCCAACAACAATGGAAACACAGAGGTCCATGTGTTTACAAGCTCTTCATCCATATAGAGGTCTTTGTGGGTATCAAAGATCATGGAAAAAACTGGAAAAGATTCCTGATTAAAGCAAGAGACATAATATTCTTAAGATTTTTTAAAAACTTAAATGCAAATTGATTAGGTTTTATGTCTTTGTTTGTTGGTTGGGTTTTTGTTTTTGTTTAGCACTAGCTGACCTAACCAAAGTGGGTTATTTATAACAAAAGCAAAGATGGATATACTTGATATTTTAGATTAAAAATTGAAAATGGTTTTGAAATGAAAGCATTGTCCTATACTTTGAGGAGACAGTGTTCTAGAAATGTGAGCCTCCTTATCCAACATCACTGACATGAGTAACTTTGGTTTTGCAAAATGCTCACCATAATTCTTCTGCTTCCTTCTGGGCTTGTTGTCTGGCTCTTTCTGCAATAAGTTCTTCTGTAAGCTGCTCATAAGGCTTGTCTCCAGGAGCTTCTCCCATAATCCAAACCCAGACCTCGCCATCAGTCCCACAGAGCCACTGCACTCGTTTGTCATTACCTGCAACAGCCATCAAAATACACAACAAAAAAAGGCTTTTTTACAAGGGAATGATGTTCTCAAGAGTCAATAACACACAGTCGGCACAAGGATCAAAATACAAATCATGGGCCTAAGCACATGAGCTGTTTCACAGAAGTGAAGCCAACCTTAATATGTTACACCAACCCTGTGCTTATTTGTGGCAACACTCTGAGTGAACATCAGGACCAGCAACTAACCTCCTGGGAGCTAAGCTGCAGGCTTCAATTTCTGAGCCATCACTTCTCTTTTGGTAAAAAGAAAGAAAGAAAAGAAAGAAAGCGGCAGACTCCCATCAGCTTCACCAGTTTGTTTTACTCACCTCCTTGCCTTTCCCTGCTCCCATATAAACTTCCTTTTCCTGCTATTGCACTTAGTTTTGTGCAACAAGCAGTTCATTGCTGACTTCATAATGCTGGCTGTTGATCACTCAAGATGACATCACAATGCATCACTGGAGGTCAAAAATACAATCTTTTGAAGTGTGAAATCTTTCTGAAAATGCAGAACTGTGTGAAGGAGGCTACCCATAACCTTTTCCCGAGTCTGTTACAACAAGATGTATGCCCAGGCTACCCAGGAAGAACAAGACACACCAAACCTATCAAACAGAATTGTGTTAGGATTGAAAATTATGTTTTGAGTTCCTGAGCAAGAATCATGTGAAATGAATATAGATATACAATATAAACCTCAAATGATCCCAGAGGTTCCCACAGCTCTGGTCATTAACATTATGGAGTCAATCTTGTCTGAAAAACATACTTAGGCCTCTTACATGGAAACTGCTTCCTTGTCAAGATATGTGCAGAAATTAATTGATTTTATTTTATTTAGAGAGCGTGAGACAATGGCACTGCACATGTGTAATGGCACACTTTCCTAAATAAGTGCGGCACAAGTTCTATTTTGATGGAAACAGCAAGGTTAAAAGTTGCAGCCCTATGAAGTGAAAATGTCACCAGCAGCCACTGAATGGTCAGAACTGAATGAAAAAAAGAAAAATCAGAGCCTGGAAAAATTAAACAGAAATCTCATAAAAAGCAGGGTGGCCGGCGGGTGGGGGGGAGTTGATAGCAGTTCCTACTTTGAAGAAACAGAACAGCTACCAAATCAAAAAGTTAATATAATTGTATAAATAAAACATGAAGGGATGTTTCCATACATATACAAAAAAGGCAGTGAAGAGAGAGAAAGAAAAAAGTTGTTCAATTTAAGTCAAGCCAGAGAAAAATGATAAAAGTCCCAAAGCAGTTCGACTGAAAATAATGTTTAGGTGTGGGGGAAGAAATGTGTGTGAGAGGGAGGGGAATCATGGGGAAATATTGTCTAATAACGGTTTGAAACCGTATCAATAACTAGGGCAGGAGTCTGCAACCTTTAAGATAAAAAGAGCCACTTGGACCCGTTTCCAAAGAAAAAACAAACTGGGAGCCACAAAACTCGTCATTATAAAAATAACTTTTTTGTCACTTTTTTTATTATTTATTTGTTTGACCCCTCAGAATTACTCCTCCTCATAGAAATAAACGTTAAATTAACAAGTTACCTTTTTGTGTGTGTGTGTTCTTCACTCCCCTTCAAAACAGTGACCAGCGTACATGCCCCCTTTCAATGCAGTGACCAGCATACATGCCCCTTACAATGTAGCGGGCGGGTGGGCGGGAAGGTGACGTCGGGACGGTGTGTGACTAGCGCATGCACCGCCCCCATGCGACGTCACAGCCAGTACAGCACCCGCCACAGTGGGGAGTGTCGGGGCGCACAATGCGCCTCCTCCCCTCGCTAATATCCGCCCTGGAGCCGCGGCAAAGGTGTAAAAGAGCCACATGCGGCTCTGGAGCCACGGGTTGCAGACCCCTGAACTAGGGGCATGCAATGCCCACAAAAATTGATTTGTGTTTGTATTTGTAGATCAGGGTGCTTGAGACAGTTTGAGAGCTGTCTGGTGCCTTCCTGTTTGGGACCAAATTAGATCTGTTTAAAACAAAACTCTCCCCGCCCACATTCACTTATAATGGGGAATCAAAAACAAACGACTAAAACTCCCCCCCCCCTACACACACACTTTTTCACAGAAGTGAATGAAAATCGCAGGCATACAAGCCCCTCCAGAGTGGATTAATCCTGCCAAATCATAGGCAGTTTTGTGCAAGAAACCTTTGAAGTTTGATCTTTGTTATTATTTTTAATACCTGTATCTTGTTTTCTGCCAGAAATGGATGCATGAGCAGCCCTGTTGAAAGGATGAGGCCTGCCAAATTTCAGAATTATAAGTGCAGTGATTCTTCTTCAGGGACATACTTTTTTTGGGGGGTCACAATAGAAATCATAGGGTGACCAGGATACCGAAGTAATTAGTATAGATCCCAAAGAAATTCTGAAGTGGGGGAAATATTACCCACCTACCTGGCACCCAGACAAGACCCTGTTACCACAAAGTTTGTTGGTACGGTGGGTTTCTGCCCCCCCCCCCGGGATTTTGGGGGATATAGCCACTTCTCCCAGGGAGAGAGACATGAAAGGGTGATGGTAGGGGAAAAAACCAGAATAGATCAGTGTGCAAAACAAACACTTTTTAATATTTTGCTCAACATCTCTCCCACAAATTACCGTGGTTCGAGTGCCGTGGGATAATTAACTGTGATTAAAGCCTAGACAAAAGATTCCCTGCATCTTTCCACCACTTAAGTTCAGGATGTTTTGCTATCAGCTTCATTTTGCTTTTACTGTACAGTGGTACCTCGGGTTACATACGCTTCAGGTTACATACGCTTCAGTTTACAGACTCCGTTAACCCAGAAATAGTACCTCGGATTAAGAACTTTGCTTCAGGATGAGAACAGAAATCGTGCTTTGGTGGCATGGTGGCAGCAGGAGGCCCCATTACCTAAAGTGGTGTTTCAGGTTAAGAACAGTTTCAGGTTAAGAACGGACCTCCGGAACGAATTAAGTACATAACCCGAGGTACCACTGTATTTCATTTTATTGTAACGCAGTGGTAGCTTTGAAAATGCTGGGGTGGGTGAGGGAACCTGACTTCACAGCGTAACTTGGGGCTTTAGGGAGACCCTTATCTGACTCAAAAAATCTTGTTAAACAGCGTGCTCCAACTCAGGCATGTGGAAACCTCGTCCATATCACTCCTATCTGCCTCATAATTCAGGAAGTAAATGAAGTTCACACACACCGCACCCCTACCAGGAACCAAGTAGAGGGGTTCATACAGTAAAGTGACAAGAAGCAGAAGCAGTATAAATATAACATCCCAAAAAAATGGGAGAAATTCACAAGTCAGCAAAGTATAAACAAAGTTGTTTATGTGTCTCCCTAAAGGAAGGAACAATAGGGCAAAAGCAGTGATAACAGTGCACTTTTTTGTGGAAACCAATTTTAAAACTCCACATGGACATGTAGTATAATGTTTTCATATACAGGAAACAGTATGTCATAACAACAAACCTGTATCCCGAAGAATAGCTTGTGAGGGGTTTTAGATATATTAGAACCAAGTGATTTAAGAATGCAATGAGCAGAAAATCAAGAACTGTTTTCACCTTGCTCATCAAACGAATGAATTCAGATGCATTTATTTGTGTGAGAATGTTGCATTTAGACCTAGAATAATTAAAGTAATCCCAGGAATATTCCATCAGCCATGAAGAGAGGAGGCATAACAACACTCCTCAAACTGGAAAAGGTTTTTGAAGTGTATGCTTGTACACAGGCAATAAAGGTAAAGGTACCCCTGCCCGTACGGGCCAGTCGTGTCCGACTCTAGGGTTGCGCGCTCATCTCGCTCAAGAGGCCGGGAGCCGGCGCCGTCCAAAGATACTTCCGGGTCACACAGGCAATAGGGAAGCATTATTGCACATACCCTACAACTAGGGCTTTTTTTCCAGCCAGAACTTGCAGGAACTCGGTTCCGGCACGTCTCAGGTGGGCACCATTGCTATTAAAAGAGAACAAGGGGGGTGTCTATGGTGCGTTCTGGCACCTCTTTTTCTAGGAAAAAATAGCGCTGCCTACAACCTAATACATTTTCACCCACATAAACGCTGGCGTGTGTTCAAATGCTGCTTTTCATGAAACAAAATTTTGAAGAAGTACAAGGCATATGATTGTGCAAATCTAGCACATTTGGAAGACAGTGTCCAACACTATGATGAATCAACAACATACATTTATGCTAGATATATATTGGGCCTAATGAAGTTATGTGATACTTTTTAAAAATAGAAACATTTATAACCCACCCTTTGGTCCCAGTTGGAATAGATTCCAATAATTTAAAATCAGAATTAAAAAATTTGATGGCGCAGATTGAGGTACTTTCATATATCCCTGCATCATGCGCACCAATAAAAGACGGAAGGAATCTGAAACATGGGACACTTACATTTAAAGTAAGGTGAACTTTAATGCTTGGTCATGTTCTCTAGGATCCTGAATTCAGCAACACAGTCGAGATGATGGTAGGTAAGCAGTATATAAATTATTTAAAATAATAAATAAAACAGACTGTCATGAGCTGCAGTTGACTTGTTTTATGAACAAATGCTGAGGTAAAATTATCCTGATGTACCTCTGGAAAATGGCTGTTTTGCATCGGCACACATCAACAGCAAGACTCCTATCAAATAAGAGTTTGCGGACGTTTTATTCTCATTATTCACTACTGTGATGTGAATGATGGATGGTAGGAGGCAACACTTCAATTCACAGTTCATTCTCTTGTGTTAATGGACACTATGTAAAACATTGCTTATGGCTAAGCAAGGTCTTTAGTCTCTCCTACTCCCCATTACTATAGCTGATGAGTGGACAGCAACTACAGTGGTACCTCGGGTTAAGAACTTAATTCGTTCTGGAGGTCCGTTCTTAACCTGAAACTGTTCTTATCCTGAGGTACCACTTTAGCTAAAGGGGCCTCCTGCTACCTCCACACAATTTCTGTTCTCATCCTGAAGCAAAGTTCT